TTGGAGCTTATGGTTTTTATTTTCTAGTTTTCTGATTAAGGTTACTTTCCTAAAAGACTCTGTAGAGCGCTCAATCATACTTTTACCTACTCCCATTTGTTGTAGATATTAGCTGCTCTGGATATTGTGCGTCAAGGCGCAGATGTGATGCCAAGGAGCCAGCTCAATCAAGTTTTAGATGCTGAACTTGGTCCTGGTTGGTCAACAAAGCTGACTAGCTTTGATTATGAACCCTTGGTTGCTACAAGTATAGGCCATGTAAGAAAAATGGTTGCATGTTTATTATGTTGTCATGCTGACTAGGATGTTCCCCATATGCTTTGTCTTTAACCTTTTAAAGCAGAATGTTTTTTTGTCTATACGTTGCTCCATGCTACAAAGAGTCTTTATGTACAAAATCTTGTATCTACAAGTGGACATGTTAATATCAATTACTCATTTTATTTCTGGCATTGATGTTATTTGGTTGGAATTGATCATTGTTTAATGCTCTGGCATTTCTGTTCTTTTCAACCTTCATTTGTGTTCACTGGTGTTTTGTGTGATAATTGCCTTGTTTAATTTAATTTGTCCCTGGCAGTTGATGCATGTTACTACTTACACATGGTTTCCTTCTTTTATATATATAAATTCATTTTTTTGAGTTTTGCTTATGCTTTTCGGCATTTAAAAAATGATCATCTTTGTTTTTTAACTCTAGACGTGAGTTCAAGTTGAATTCACAGTAAAATGATTGGCTTTTGTGGAGAAAGACAAGAACTTGTCATATCATATCATTCCTTCCTATGTTTTGTCTATTATACAGTAGGGGTATAAAATTATTATCTCGCTCAGGGCATTAAAATTCATTGGACCGGCCCTGCGTGTAACTGACTCTCGAACCTATTTTCTGGTTTTCGTAGACCCTAAACTTGACATTTTGATAAAAATAAAATATTTTATTAAAATCAATCGGTTTTTATGGTGTCCCGATCACACCTTAAAATGATTGGCGACGACTCTTAACATTTCAAAACCTTTTCAAAGAAAACCCTTAAGTTCATACTTGTTTTTCCTCAATCGGGCGAAAAACGGTGTCGACATATTCGAGTCATTTTCTTTCTAGAAAATATCATAAAAATTTAGCTCAATTATACAATTATAGTTTTAATAAAAATATTTTAAATTATACAGATTAAAAAACGTTGACAAATATTCAATTAATTTTTAAATAAACGCGATTATAACAATACGAGATAAAGAATATTAACAATTGTAATTCTTAAAAAAAAATACTTCAAATTGTACGAGATAAAAATGTTGATAATTATGGTATCTTTTGAATTTAATAGCTACTTTTTAAGGTGTATTAAATTTAATATGGATTATAAAGCCACTATACTTTTTAAACTAAATAACTAATATTAAATATTTTTATAATTTTAAAATAAATAATGGTAGATATATTTTAATTTTAAAATTATAATAATTACATTATTTTTGTTATAAAAAAATTTATTTTATAATAGATAGGATTAAAAAAATAGATCAATATAACTTATTCAAAACATTGTGTAAAATTATTTTCTGATGACAAGTATCTCGTTCATCTTATTTATATATTTAAAACTTCAAAATGCAATTAAATAAACACTTGACACTACTTTAAGATAGTTGTAAAACCTTATTTATAGGTAAATTATGCATTTAGTACATAAATTATCAGTTTTAGTATGTAGACATCCATTTTTTTCAAAATCATACCTAACGTTTAGTTTTTGTTTTATTTTAATATCTCATCGTAAAAAGCTTAACACGTTTAGTACCTAAACTATCAATTTTGGTCTATTTTAGTACATAAACTTTCAATTTTGAACAGAGATACTTAAATGAAACAAAAACTAAATTTTGTAACAGCATGGTACTAAAATAAAACAGAAACTAAACTTTAGGTATGATTTTAAAAAAATTGAAAGTTTAGGTACTAAAACGGACCAAAACTGATAGTTTAGATACTAAACACATAATTTAACCCTTAATTATTTAATATTATACCAAAATAGTTATCCAAAAAATATAATTTAATAACAAAAATCGATATAAATTAAACTTGGTACATGTAAAAAATTTATTTATTCTCCTTGAAAATACAAAACTATAGTTCCATGAATAAAATCAGAACCTTATTTGCGTAATCAAAACCAATAATTAAAAAAACTATAAAAAGTAATGGAATAAAATATTTTCCTCTTCAAAAATAATATATATTTTTTAAAAAATATAAAAAAAAATAATCGCGAAAGTCATTCATCCCTTCCAATCCTGAAGAAGAAGAAATGGAGCATCTCATGTTTGGTGTAGGGATGGCAAACGGGTACAGTTTCGTGGATTCCGCATCGCACCCGCTCCAATTGGGGCGGGGATGGATATAATTTTAGCGGGTAGTGGGCGGGTGTGGATTTAGAAAGTGATACCTGTCGCGGGTGGTGGGGGGTAATGGTTTGAGACATTACCCGCCCCGCATCCGCCCGCCCAACTAAATATTCATTAAATTTTGGACCATTATGAATTTAGGTGTAATTTTAGAGACTAATTTATAAATTCTAATACTGTATAAGATGTAACATGTAATTTAACCAAATATTAGGGATATTTAGTCTTTATTTTGATCTCGTCTTTAGTCTTTAATCTCGTTATTGCACCGATCTTTCTTGGTCTCCACTCTTTAGGTACGTTTCTTCTTCTTCTTTAGTCTTTAATCTGGTCTCTTCTTTAGTCTTTAATCTTTAGTCTCTGTGCCCCAAACCTACAAAAACCCAACTTTGATTCCTATATTTTGCTTGTTTCTCGAGCATAAAAAATAAAGGAAAAAAGGTGTTTTCTTTATGCAGTTTTACCTCCGAACTTCACACTGTAAAGCTTAGCCACTTTCTTTCTCAGCTGTCAAAGCTTGTTAGATTCTTTTTCTACAGTTAAAACTCAGGTATTTTCTCTCTTTCTCTCAAGACCTATGATTTAAAAGTTCCAATTTTTTGCTTGTTTCTCGAGACACAATGTATACTTCCATTTCGTTTTTTTCCTTCTAATTTCATTTATCGAGTGCTGATTTGTGATGGGTATTTTTTTAACTTCAGTGGTGTTTTCAAAATTTTGAAGTTTTAGTTAGAGGGTAAAGAGTTCTAGAAGCTTTGTCAGAATTTTGTTTAAAAGCGAGTGATGTAGGATAAGCAAGTAGAAGAGAAACCATAGAAAATGGATGGGGAAATCTGAAATTGAATGAAAATAGTGAGGGAGTAGTTGGATGAAATTTGGGGACAACCTAACCACAAAGTTAACAAAAGGCTAAATTAAATAAAGGGATGAAAATGAATAACGTTGATTTGAAATTTAAATCATCCTAATTATTAATTATAATGGGCTTAATATATATATATATTATTCTTTTAAAACAATTTGATATAATGTTCATATTATCTAGATTTTTTTTCACTTACATTAAGCGTATAAGAATATTTAAATGAACATACATTATTATCTAGAGTTTTTACATACATTATTATAATGTTTCTTAATGGAAATGTTTTTTTATGTTTGTTGCTTATATATAACTTAAGTTTGTTGTCAGATGGGTCTAAACGGGTATGTCGCTAGTGGGTAGTGAGTGTGGGGATAGATTTGATAATGTACCCACGTGGGCGGGTGTGGATTTGAAAATTTGTACCTATCATGGGTGGTGGGCGGGTGGTGGATTGAAAAATATTAGGTGGGTATGGGGATGGGGGAGGGGGTATCTGCACCTGACCCGCCCTTTTGCCATCCCTAGTTTGGTGTAAAAAACAAAGAATCGGTGTAATTGTAAAACGGCTGATGATGATTGACGCAAAGAAAATCGGCGAAATTCGACGGAAAAACTGGATTTTTTTTTGTTAAAAACAGTGCTGCCGCCGCTGCCGGTGGATCAAACAACGGCGGAATGAAACAAGAATTCACTTCTCTGATTCTAAATTAAATTTAGGTCACTATAAATATTGTTTGTTATTTTGAGGACGGATAATTATTCATTCTGAAATTCAAATTTTCTTGTTAGAAGGTTGCCCACTCATTGTATGGATCGAATAATTATCCACTCTAAAATTTGAATTTATTTATTAGAAGACCGTCCATTTATCTTCTAGTTGATGTCGCTCGTTCTCCCGCCCGTCGAGATTGAATTCATTCGGGTCGAATTTTATAGAGCATATATAATCGGGTTGATAAATCGAGTCGGGTTTAAATTATAATTTTTTATCAGAATACTTGAAATGAAAATCCTAATATTTTCATTCTCACCAAAATTATTGATTTTTCTCCCTAATTTAATCCCTCATTTTCCCCTCAAAATCATTTCACCACCCACTTTCAACGTATATGGTCTTTAATATTTTAAATAAAATAATATTCTTTTTATCATTAAATTCTCCTTGAATCTTTTTCATTAAATTTTTAAAATAAAATAATATTTCATGGTTTCTTTATTTTTTAATTATTTTTCATCTCCATTTTTTAGTTCGAAACATCCATGTTACCAAACATAAATCACCTCTTGAAGCATCTCAAACGACTATTATATCCAAATCAACATGTTAACATTTAACACAAACAACTATCAATTTTTTACTAGAAAAGTACAAATTTAGAACATATAAATAGTTAGTACTCACACAAACCAAGTGACCTCCGTATTAAAAGAATTGTTAGTATTCATTGAGGATCCGACTTCGAACACCAGAAGTGTGAGCTTTCAATGTCAAAAGGTTGAATGTTATCTTTGAATAAATATTGCCTTGTACTTATTCCATATTAATCAAAATAATAATAATCAGATGACCACTTTATAACTTTCAACAATCAGAAGATTCAACAAAACAACAAATTATAATTGAAACATCATTTTATAACTTTTAATTATTAGAGGACCTAAGATAGCAATACCTTATAATCAAAGGATCATCCATGTATTTTATCAAAAAATTCAATAACACAAGGACCTCCAACAGCTTAAGTACCCAAATCCTTCCGGTAGATGTCAAACTCTTGGCAGTGTCAATCCTACCAAGTTTTTCACTTCTAACAACTCCTTTAATCAGTTCACCTGAGATTACCAAATTGGCAAAATCTTTAGCTGTACAGCCCTTTAAATGGACTTGGGTGGTTGATTTGGATTTTTTTTTTGGATTTAGGGTTTTCCCTTAAAGTTGAACTTAATTTTGAACTAGCCCGTGTTAGGTGGATCAGACATCAAGTTCCACCTAACACTGGCTAGTTCAATATCAATATCAATATCAGAGACCGTCTGACCAGAGGTTACCGCTCCGAAGGGTCAAACGGCGAGAGATCCATGTACGGGTTACTAGAAAGAGTTCCACAAGTACAAAAGTTCCAGTCAGTTGGGTGAAGTTGAAACTCTTCAAGATATGCAACAAGAGTGTATGGTGCAGCTTGAGAATGATTCAACAAGATAAAGGAACTCGGTCTGGAAATTTTCGACCCATTGCCATCTGTAAGCACAAGACCTTCCAAAAGTCGAGGCAAATCTTTCACTTCTAATTGTTAGTTTTGTTCTTTCAATCAATAAATAGATCAAGATCATGCATTTTTGTCATACCTAATAATGCTCACTTGACACTACCGCTCCCTGCAAAAGTGAACGATAAAAGGGCCAACACTGAATCTGCAACTTACTTCTTACTACATGAGGTTTGACTTTAAAGAGGTTTCTATAGGCCTTCAAACAAATTACCGAGCTCGCAAAGGAGCCCGAAGACGAAATTAATTCCTATAACCCTCCGCAGCAAATGCTGAATCAAGGGTAAGTGATTAACCTGTTCCGGAGTGCAGCTCATAACCTGTGCTGTTATTAAACCTTCTCATTGGCGAAGAATCTGCTGGAGCTGAAGTACTTGATTCCTTTGCTCAGGAGGCAAGAGATTAATCTGTTCTGGAGTAAGGCTCATTACCTGCTGAAGTAGTTCCTTCTCCATCTCAGGAGTCAACTACAATGAGCCAGCAGAAAAAACCAACCAGTTTAATAGACCAGCTTCAGTTATTGCAAATTAACCGTTGCTTATATGAAACCCAAAGTTCAGATAATCACCGAGGCAGTGAGAGGGGCCTGGTTTCCAGGACCCATCTGATTGGGAACCAAAGATGAGGGTCCTTGAAGCTGTGGAAGTGTTGAATTATCTGGTTGGCTTGACATCCAAGGAGATCCTCTATCTGCCTGCATTGAACCTCGAACTTGGTTGCCAAAGTCAGATCCTAAACGTAAGCTTCCTGCCTGAAAGAATAACCATTGCACATACCATTAGACATGGAATTTCTTTCCACTAATTATAGAAAATCAAGCTTAAGGAATCTTAAACTACATTTGGATATTGTATTTGGTCATTAGTTCTTTATCATTTACTCTTTTTTCCCTTAAAATTATATCATATTTACTTACAATAAAGTAACTTTAAAATATAACACAAAGCTAAAATCATGCATAATTATCATTTATATGTATATTATGAGTGCATCTAAAGCCCTTCTTCACTTCTGTTCCGCTTTTGAAAGAAAAGGTAAGAATAAAAAATAACTAAGAAACATGAGATAATAATTTAACTACTGCAAGACAACGAAGGGGCATCTTAATTTCATCATTAGAATAATTTGAATCGAAGTCATTAAAACCTTGTTTCTTATATTAAATTCAAAATCAGTTACCAGCTCATAATCATTGTTCAGTGCATTCGATGGATTACCATTCTTCTAGCTTGAGCCAGAACTCTTAACTTATGTGGCTAGCTGAATGAATAGGATCCAAACACTTGTCTGTCCTTCCATTTCATTAAAAAAACATACAATGCCCAGGTTCTCTAGAATTATTTCTCCTCATTGACTTGATTAAAATGCATCAAGATACATCAGACAACCACCTCTCCACACTGAATTACAAAACCTTGAACTAGTTGCTATTGCAATCACAATCGCATACATTCTTAACTTGCAATTGTGTTTCTGTCTTCACATACAAAATTATGATGGAAAAAGTAAAAAAGACTTCCACAATTTTTAACAAGGCACAAAAAACACATATATACATAAAGGAATCCACTATTTTTGCGTCATTTGAACTTTAAAGCGTAAACTAGTCAACCAAAAGAAGGGGGATTCAAACTGATAGATTGCATTGTGCCTCATAAAAGGTAATTGGATGTATTTTAAATACAAGGTAGACCATGGAGAGTGCAGGCTCGTTAGCTTAATTAAGCACAAATAAAAGACATGAGCTTACCTTTATCATCAGCCACAAATAATGGTTCATTAATTGATAAAAAGAATACATATAAAAAAACTAGGTTATGCACATACTTGATTTTGATACACCGATTGAGATGGCAACTGATTTGAGTGTGGTGTCTGTCCTTGTGGAAAAGAGTATCCAAGGCCAGGTGGTGGTTTATTACCAGACTGGAATATAAAACAGTAAAAAGAATTATTACGTTATATGTTACTAGGGAGAATCCAAGAACGACTTCCAAAATGTAACTTCCGACTTACATGGAACATCGGCTGTGAATGATGCTGGGGAGCACCAGGGTGCTGGAAACCGACATTAGGACCCATTTGGGGAGTATACTGATGATGTAAAGTTGGTACAGAAGAGGGTCTTGCCTGTTGCGGCATAGGTGGCTGCAGAGGCATATGAGAAATTCCAGTTGTCTGCAATGACTGCTGCAACTGGCCGGAGGCCATTGGCATATGTGTTTGTTGATGATGTTGGGGCTGTGAAGATGGATGAAGAGGAAGTTGGGATGATTGTGGAAGGGACATTGGAGGATTCAGATGTCCCTTCATCTGCTGAGGTGTCTGGAGGGAATGTGCTGGCATGGGTTGAGACTGAACGTTTCCAGCAGGTACAGCAGCAGCTGAGATTTGTGTGCCAGCTTGGTTTTGATGCTGTTTTCTTAAAGGAGGTTGGGTCTGACACGGAGCAGTTTGGTCCTGCAACCCAAGTTGACCTTGAAATGATTTTGCTGGCTGCATGTTCGGCATTGGAGGCGGTTGTGCTGATTGCTGAGACTGAGATTGTTGCAATACAGATGGCTGAATGGTAGGAATCTGAACACAAAAAAGGATTCATAACACAGGTACAGTTCCCAACAAAAAATTTCAAGATAATTTTGCAGAGATAAAAAGCATACCACTTGAGGGGGGCTAACCATTCCAAGCATAATCTGAGCCTGAAGTAAAAAAAATGATAAAAGAAACCTGTTTAGGCATGGAAGCTCCTAAAGATTTTCAGCAACAAACAATCTAAACGTATGCAGTACACTGAAAAATTAGAGCGATTAACCAATAACCATCAAGCCCTACAGCATTACAATATCCATGATTCTTATTCTGGGTTGCAACTAGAACTACAGGCATATAAATACAAAAAAAATGGCAACAAACGTTCATAGCTTTATCATACAAGGCATATAAATACACTTAAAGGGATAGCAATAAAAAAATTCATTCGAACCAACATATCACAGCAACGTATAATTACTATGGAAATACAAAAACAAAATCTACAAAAGAATCAATAATAGATTGGAAAGGGAAACGATGAGGGTTTAATTAAATCTGAAAAAGGGAATATATAAGAGAAGGAAAACCTGGAAAAGGGCTTTAGTCAAGAGAGGGTTTTGAATAAGGATCTCTTTCGCTTGTTGCTGATTTTGTTCTATAAGTGTCTGCATATACCCAATAGACAATCAACAGAAAATACTAGTTTAAATTACAAATTATATTTCACGGCTAAGGAACCGGCGTTTAGAAGAAAGATAAAAGAAAAGGGGGAAATTGAAAGGGAAAGTACCTTCATCTGAGACATGATATCGTAAAGTTGATTCTTCGTCATTCCAGCTATGTAGGCAGGCAATCCCTCACCGCCGATTTGCTTCCCCGCCATTATCTCCGTTGACTTTCCGGCAAGAGTAGAGAGAGAGAGAGAGAGAGAGAGAGAGAGAGAGGCTTGAAGCTTGAAGCTTGAAGCTTTTACGTGGTATTTTATAGCGTAGTGGTTTTAGAAGGCCGGCCCACAATAGAATTTGGATCCAACCCCATTGCGTAATATAATTTTGGCAAAAACGTGTAAGAGGTCCTTGTACTTTTGAAAATATTTATGTGATCCTCTTTTTATTTTTTCTCTCAATGTAGCCTTCCAACTCATAAAACAAATCTAATGTGATTCTTTGACCAACGTTTTTCATCGATTGTTTGTTACGATACTAATGTGGTGGTCTAGGGTACTGATGTGGCAATCCATTTGTCATGTTTGAGTTATCAATTTAGTATATTTGTCATGTTATCTGTCACGTTATTAACCACCGTAGACTGTCACATCAACACTATAGGCCACACGTCAGGGTCGTGAATTATCATGTCAATATCATAACGATCAACGACAAAAAAAATTGCTCAAAGGGTCACGTTAAACTTATTTTCTAAGTTAAATAACAATATTAAGAGAAAAAATAATACGAATACTATATTGATTTTTTCAAGTACATAGAACTCTAATATATTTTATTTATATATATATATATATATATATATATAATAAACTTTTGAAGAAATGCTCGAGAAAAAATGCATTTGATAAAGTATTCTTTAAAATCAAATTATAGTTTTTACATTATTTTATTATTTTATAATGGATTTATTTTATAATTTGTATTTATATTTTTTATCAAAATATAATTATATAGTTTTTCTCGTCATTTATTTTAATAGAATATATATAGAATTTTGTAATTCATCACTAGACAAGGAGCTTGACTCAGGTTTTATCTCTTAGTGGTTGAAATTTTTATTAGATTAAATAAGTTATAATTAAGAAAATATACTCTAATTAATATGAATTGAGTGACTTCCGTAGTAAAGAAATTACTGTTGTTCTTTAAAATCTCGAGTTTGAGTACCAGGAATATCAAGAATTATCGTTATTCTTCAAACAAATGTTATTTTGTATTTACCCCATATTAATAAAAAATATACGCCAATTAAGTGGTGACACATATCATTATTTAATTAAAAATTAAATTTTATTAAATTAAAATTAAAAGTATGAAATTAATAAAATATTTAAGTAATGAGAATTGAAAATATAATTATATTAATTATTTTAATAATCATGTCAATTTAACGATTGGCGGTTTGATTTCAACACTTGAATGAATAATTAAGTAGTCTAAAAGAGCTAATTGCATCATATGTCATCAAAATAAAACCCTCATTTTAAATTGGTCCATGAACTTTAATATTCTAATTTCATCTGTAAATTATGAATATTATTTTAAATTAATCCTCAAAACTTTTGAACATTTTAATTTCATCCCAAACTATGACCTTCATCCTAAATTGGTACCCAAACTTTTTAAACATTCCTATTTCATCCCAAATTATACATATATAGTAATCACATCCATTGTTAATAAAATCATTAGGCCAAATCATATTATTATATGTTTGAGAAACAAAATTTAGGTTAAACATTGGTTGAAACTAATTACATATTTGGATGAAATTGGAATATTTAAAAGTTTGTGGATTACTTTAGAATGAAGGTCATAATTTAGGGATGAAATTGAAATGTTAAAAAGTCTAAGGATTAATTTAGAATAATAGTCACATTTTAAGGATGAAATTAGAATATTAAAAATTTTAGAGACTAATTTAAAATAAAACTCATATTTTGAAAATATATAATGTAATAAAATTTGAATAAAATTAAAAGATCAATGATAGTTCCGCTATGCTACTATTGATGTGAAATTTGTTCACTCCGCTATTGAGCTCTTGACCGGCGGTGGACGGCGTCTCTATCAGAAAATAGAGGCCTCATCCTCATCACCTCTACGCCACCGGGCGCCCGCGATATAACAGTAGTGGTGCCTTCGGCAACTGTTATTACATGACCGTGATACCCGCAATCCCCATAAGAGCGTTCATTATGTCCTCAATCGCAACCGCTATTTGAATCCGTGCCGGCAGACCTAGATTCTTTTGTCCTACTACATGTGTGGATTCTTTTGTCCTGCTACATGTGTGGAAAGGTTAAGTTGGGAAGGCTCTTCTCATGCCGTTTTGTAGACAAAGCTTGAAAATGAATTGAAGGATCTCAAGCTGGATGAAGCATGGGAAACTTTCAATGATTTTAAAAGGTTGTAGGGTTTTCCTAGCCATTTGCTTGTTAGTAGGTTCGTCACTCGACTATCTTACTCGTCCAGCCCTCGTTGGCTGCTGAAAGCTTGTGATTTGGTTACGATGGCCATGAAAGAGAAATCGAATCATCTTCAGCCTGACATGTTTAGTAAGCTAGTTCTTTCGCAGGTCATGGTGCAAACTTGCTGAAACCTGATACAATGATGTTCAATCGTGTGCTTGATTCTTGTGTTAGATTTGTGGCATCGTTGAAAGGGCAACGAATTATAGAATCGATGTCGCAAATTGGTGTTGTTTTGATGCTTCCTTTTAGTTTTACTTGTCATGACCATTTTTCTAGAAATTCTTTTTATATTTTTAAAACTTTATTTTGTAAGATTTGAATTTTTGTTTAATTTGAAATTTGAAGTCGCCATCGACATTTGGGTTAGGTAGATCGAATACCTAAAACCGTCTTTTAAACAATTTTAAGAAAAATATTTTTTAAAGACGAAAGTTGGTCTGTGTGTTATCAGAGATTCATTTTTTTAGGGTTCGGGAGTCGATTACGCGTGAGGAAGAATAAGTATCCCATGGTGCCTAAAATTGATATCTCTCGGTTATATGTTGTCTAAGTAGTGAAACTTTACAAATTTGAATTCAAACCTTAAATTACGATCCTTTTATTTCTTTGAATGAAAAAGTGAATTTCTTTGCAAAATAGTTAACTCGATGAAAATGATATAACTCACTCGATTTTATTTGAAAATGATGTCCCTTTACTTCAAAAATTAACGACAATCATTATCCAGTCATGTTGGACACGATCCCATTAATTCTTGATTTAAAACAACGTTGCATTATACAACAATAAGAAAAAATAAATGAAAAATTAACGAATGCAACAATAATAAATGTCATAAAAATGATGAAAAAGATGTACGAAATGTACAAATTTAAACAAATAAATTAACGCACAATACATTTATATTAATTGAGTTGAAATTGATAGGGCATTCTTTCACTCGTGTTTTTAAAGAATCTCACTCCAGGTATTTGGAGGGTTTCTTAATCTCTCTTCGTTCGAGATATTTCCCATAAAATGAACTACAATTTATTTTTTATTTAAACAATTCTATCATAAAAATATAAATATTTATAAAAAAGAAAATGAAAATATATATACATACATACATAAGGGTCAAAATATATTAAATATATATATATATATATATATATATATAATAAGACACGTGTATAAGATATATAAGTAGATGCTCTTATAAGTAGATATATAAGTAGATGCTCATATATATTGATTTAGTGGATTGCATCGTATAGTAGGGTATGGTTGATAGTATGGATTTGCCTTGACGGATGCCTCTAGATGGTTTGAAGGGCTCAGTCAGGGAGCCATTCCAAACAATCTGCGTTGTAACCAAAGTAATGCAATTCATAATAACATTTCGAAGTGCGTATGGGAATCTAATGTCTTTAAGGGTGTCATCGATGAACGCCCATTCAAGTTGATCGTACGCTTTCTCGAGGTCGATTTTAATCGCCATCCAACATGTTCTCCCTTTCTTCCTTTGCATGGAATGGATGGTTTCTTGGGCAAGGACAATGTTATCCGTAATGGAGCGACCGGGCACAAAGCTCGTCTGACTGCAAGAAATAAGATCAGGAAGTAAAGGTTTAACGCGATTAACAATGGCCTTTGTGATAATTTTATACAACACCGAACATAAGCTAATAGGAAGGCATTGAGTAATTTTGTTCGGGTTCTCCGTCTTAGGAATCAGAACAACCAAGGTTTTATTGATCGATTCGTCCAAAGGCTCGCCCTTAAAAGCTTTCTTGACAAACTCACAGACGTTTTCCCCCACACAGTCCCAATTCCTCTGATAAAACATGGCATGGATGCCATCCACTCCTGGAGCCTTAAGAGGGCTCATACTGAAGATAGCTTCACGAATCTCAGGGTCGTCCAAAGGAGCGTCTAGTTGTTTCATTTGGGTCGAATCAATTATGGGAAACTGATTACTAGGGGCCAAATTCTGGAAGTCATCTATAGAGCTAGTAAAAAGGTCCCTGAAGTAATTGACAGCACATGCCATCAACGCTTCCTGGTTCGTTCAGGTAACCCCACTAGAAATCTCGAGGGCTGAAACAAATTTCTTCTTTTGTCTCAGGATAACGCTCCTGTGATTGTTCAAGAGTCTCAAGGTTCCATTTCGTCACTTCTTGTTTAAAGCAGTCTAAATTAGTTGTAATATCCCCATCAACGGTCCAATGATTGTTGAAAAGCTCGTTGAAATTCGAATGATCAAGCCATGCTGCCAACATGAGGAAAGGGCGATTCCTCTTATGATTTTCTTTCATAGCTTGAATCAAAATCGGGTTGTCGTCAAATTCGAGACGGTCTAGATGGATTTCTTTAGAGTCGGAAACCGGTTATTCCATTCTTCATTAACGAAAGTACAATCAATACACTGCCGAAGGCTTCCTCTTCTCCAAGTAAATTTCTGGCCAATGCAATCCAGATCAAAGAGATCGTTGTCGAACACAGTTATTAAAAAGGCTGTTGTACCCTCTGTTGCGTACACTGCCTCCTTGTCTGTCATCATTTTTGAGGATACAATTGAAGTCGCTAATGTCCTTGGTGAACTAGTACTAACTGTTAACTAAGCATCAGAATCTTCTTGTACATTTTCTCTCCTTCGGTATTCACTCCGCGCAACAGAACTACCAGATTCATTTCGGATTTAAGAGGGAAGAAAC